ATACAAGGAAGGTGCACTTTATGCACCGATCGACATTGTTATGAAATTTAAGATTTGAAGAGCAGATTTTTAAAGCTAAGGAGCAAATCGCTGTAGGGCCACACGCTTCAAGAACTAACCCCAAAAACATTGTGTTGATCCTCCTGAAGTGGCCTCTGTGATAAATTAGGCCAATGTTGAATGGTCCTGCATAGAGATGGGATAAACGGTTATTTTTCTGTAACAAGGTTACAACGTTCCAGTTCACGTTAGTAATAGGTTTCAAAAGGAACATGTTAGTTAAAAAAAATGCGCAATGATGATGGTAGAAATAGTAATGACAAATAATGATTTAGTTTCTTAAACGAATAATTCTTAACTAAAGCTCTTAGATAAAATAAAATATCCTAAAGTCAAAAACAAAACATGGGTCAGAAGTACCTGCTTAAAGAACAAAAGAACTGATAATAAACTAGATAAAATGAATAAATAAAAACTGATTAAATAAAATATACGGTTTATCTGCAAAAATGTTTAAAAATCTAATTTTCATTTAAAAATTAAATTTTTTTCAGATGCTTTTTACTGAGTTCGAAGTATTACCCGAGTTAATTTTTGGTACCACCAAAAAATACTTTTAAAAAATATGTCTATATAACTAACTTTCATTTCATCTTGTGATTTAATTTATATCTAAAAATGGCAAGCTTGCTTAAATACAGGTGCACATTCTGCTTACAACGTTTATTATTTTACAATTCAACTGTGATGGAATTTATGTCTTAGACTCTAAATTTGGTCATGGCTCATATGCAAGTGTACATTCTGCTTAGTTGGCTGATTATAGGCATATACATCTCGAGCTAAGTTCATTAATGAGAGAAATACCTTTTTGAACTGAACAGTAATTCTTATAAACGAAAAGTGATAAACACAATAATCAAGGCAACACGCCACTATACATATTCTCCGTTGACAAATGGTTACTGAAACTGAACACTTTTTCAGGYTTATGAGACGGTTCCGAAAAAACGTTTAAATCGRCCAACGGCTGCAGCTGGTGCGAAGTGCGCACAACTGTTTAKGTTTTATGAGACGGTTCCAAAAAGAACGGTTYAAGTCGGCAAACGGCTGCAGCTGGTTCGAAGTGCGCTCAACTGTTTCGGTTTTATGAGACGGTTCCAAAAAGAACGGTTTAAATTGGCAATCGGCTGCCGCTAGGTAGATGCTCGACGGTGTCGCATCGGATCTGTGCTGTTGCGAACGGCTTTTTCGGGTTTATGCGACGGTTCCAAAAATAACCGGTTAAATCTGCTAGCTGTAACTACGGTTTCAGGTTACACGTTTGTAAAAATGTTATTTTAGCGGTTACGTTAAAACTACCATACATTTTTTTGCTCGTCCTGCATGCTCTAACAGGAAGTTAGAAGCTTCTAAAACTTCAAAGTTTTAAACCTAGAGAACTGTAGCTCGCAAACTTTGGATCTGACTGGCTGGCACTTCAGGATTCAGCCGAGTTTCATCAGCGCAAATGACAAGAATTGTATTCAGTTTCGAAAAAAATACACAAGAAAAACGAAGCCCTGAGCCGGAAGCTAGTTGGGAAAGAAATCGGAGTTTCATGTGAACATAAAGGGCAATTGCGTGAAACAAAGACTACAATCCAGAACAAATGACTAAGAGTGGCTATCGTCTAAATTATAACAATATTTTATGGCCACGTCAAATGCATTCTCTCCAAGATGGGGGAACTAAACTGGACGTAACCTTTTGGGACATAGGTTAATCTGGGGCATGTTGTCAACGTCGTTTGTTTTCTGGACGATGACAGCTACGATGCAGATTCATTATTTTTCCCGAAGAATAATAGAAGGGAAAGCTGTGAAGAGGCCGCACAAAGCCGGCTGCCTGTCGTTTTTAGCTCATCACTTTAATTAAGTTTTAATTTAGTGGCGGTGCCATTGTGTAGAAACTCACTCTATTAATTGAATCTTTCACGATTTATTCCTCAGCCAAATACCCCAAATGTATCTTCTGTTGATTTAGCTAGTCGAACACAACGCATCTTCCTCCAATTGGTATTAAACAACTGGCTAAAATAATGAGTTTCCCATCAGTTCTCGAATTTTCTCGGCGAAATTAAAGGGGATCCCACATAATAAGGTTCTGGCGCTCCGATGGCATATTAATTTCCGTTTTGTCATGGAAATTTGTTTTTCCAATAGCGAAATGGTATAATTCGGCTTTAGTGGAGAAAGGCCAGTTGTGCACATCTCACCGCAGATGCCACCAGACACAAAGGCTGGCGGTTTTGTTGATTTTGAGCTGACAATGTTGCTTAATAGGTATTGTACGCTGCAATAATAGGCAGCTTTATTGTTAGTATTGCTGCAATCTATTGTCTGCTTCTGATGGTTCATTAGATGGTCGAAAGTAGGAAATATCGGTTGGTTCCATTGATGGAAATCGGCGACAATCAAACCACATGGCAAAGACTATATGGGGTGAAACCTTTTTATATTCAGAGTATCACGAAAAAACGTGCAAATTTTTTAGCAATTGCAGCAATTTAGATTTTCAAGTTTAAAAACCTTTTTTTGTACGCTAAAAAGGAAAGGAATGTTTCCTAATACTATGTACTTGATATAGAAGATATGGAAATTAGCCACCAGGACGTAGAAACAGCAAGAAAATTCTCGCGAAACAAAAAATAACCGAGGCAAGATGGAATCCCTAACGGTGGCAAAAGTTTACACTAGAACCAAGTTTATACAAAAAATGCTTCTACGATTTAGCCGTGAATAGCGGGATCAGAGAAACTGGTCCAGAACGATTTGCACTTTGTTCCACTACATTCCAGGAACCTAGAGACTTGAAGTTTTTAAGGATTTTGATTCGAATCAATCTTGCCGGAACGCTTCAATTGGTGCCTCATGATTGCAAACGAATTTTCTTAGATTCCTCCAACACACCACCCGTAATTAATGTTTTTTTCGTCTTAAGGATTTCTTGGTCACCGCCAATAAAAACTAAATAATTTGCGGCATTATAACTGTGATAATTCGCGAATTTGCACGTTCCTCCTTGTATGGCGTTGACTTGACATGTTTCTCCCCTGTATCCACTTATAGAAACCTTTAATACCTTCTCACGCTAGAGGTGTGCTAACCGGTTATTTTTCTAGAACACATTTTCGAATTTATATGACCGTTCCAAAAAAACCGTTAAATCGGCTACCTGTAACTGAGGTTCCAGGTTACACGTTTGGAACAGTGTTTTTTAACGTTAAATACCGACCATCCCTAGCTCACCTGAAGTGTTCATTCCAACTATTAATGTTGAAAATGAAGATATAAGTCGGAAGACGCTAGATTCACTCTATTTCGCCAGAGATTTCTTCTGTTTCTGCCCTGAACTCTTCAAATGGAAGCGTTGAAACTTGAATCGAGTAAATAAACCATTGTCTTCCTCTGATTCTTCACACATCAACATCGCTAAAAAACATCTATCTGCCCAGTACTTAAATGAAGAAAATGAATCCTTTAATCAAGGCCCAGAGGATGAAATGGCTGCGCCACTAGAAAAAGCTCATTACAGCCTTTTGGCTTTGATTATTACCAGTTAACTGCCAGAATCTCATTTAGAATAATGAGTTTTCTGAGCAAAGTATAAATTACCAAAGCAGAGAACCAGCAGTTTCCGACTCATTAATCATAAGTACGTTGCACGCGTATTAGACGAGCTGCTCACAAAAGAAAATCTCAAAATCATTTCAATATAAAGGGCGAGCAACAATGCATCGCATCCATAAGAGAAATCTTGCAATGTATTCGAGATAAGTATACGGAGCAGTTAGAGCGGTTATTACTCCAGTTTCCTGTGAAGTTTGCGTTATGGTCGGAACAGGGCCTTTTGTTGCTGAAATTGGATGTCATCCTGCTAAATCGAATGCATTTGGAAACGACAGTCTGCTACATTATTGAAGCCATTTAGTGCTTGTGTTTGGGAATTTCCAAATCATGATGTTTCCAAACTGTCGGTTGGACAATCTGATGATGATGATGAGAGCGATATTTTTTCGCGCTCTGCCGCTAGCTGAAACTTTCATTAGGAAGACAACTTCAGCGTCTGATCGCTGAAAATGCATGTCTTGTTCCACACCGGCCCTAGACAGATTCGTATCGGGTTGATTTATTCGGGCCACTCAGTGTATCTGACCCACTTTCGAGTTTGAGCTTGTTTTCGAAATTATTTACTGCGCCCTTGATATGACAAGAGAAGCAGCTTTAAAACTACCGATAGTTTCGCTGAAACAAGCCTGGAAAAGTGGCTCTTCTTGCAGATATTTGTGAAATATTGCGCCAGTATTAAAAAACATGCTTCTCCCAACTTTTGTTTGAAATTGGATGTATATTTAGCATGTTTTTTAGCGCGCGTCTCAGCTGTAAAATTATGCACATTCATATACAAAATACACGAAAATGACGGAAATATTTTCAATAAAGCTCGCTTTCCGTTCGTGGAGCTTCTGATCATTGGCAACATTCTAATAGGATAAACTTGAATGGAAAGGGAGAATTTTATGTGAGGAGCTAATGTAGCTTAAAGATTGGATGTGATATTAGTTCGCTTTCCTCCTTGAATGGTACTTCCATACGCCATTTGTGATAAATCGGAAAATATTCCTCTATTAGACCGTCAGATAACTAAAAGGCTCATTTTGCATTTCCAACGGTGCACCAGAAGATCGGCAACAGCCCGAAAACTTTGGCCATTAATCGCGCAGCCAAGTGCACTTGAAAGCTGAGGTAAACTTTTATCAAATTTCAGTGGAAATTGCCACTTGGACCTGTCTGGAGAAAAACTGGCCCGAAATCAATGTTGGTTTAGTTCGGCATTATCAAGTTTTCGTGCTTTTGTTCAAATCAGTCCCTCTAAAATCTTTGCTTAATCACTTTGTTTCAAGAACATTTTATTCGACAGACTGCGTCTATTCACAGGCAATTTTTCTGTTGTTTCAGGAACCTGTTATTTTCCTGAACGATGGGAAGGTGCCTGGTTCCAATCTGGAGTTCGGGCGCCTGTTTTAATCGAAGGCCCAAGACTTAGTACCAAAGGCCGCTGTTTGGGTTCCGATGGAGACAAGTTTCTGATGGTAGACGAGTAAGTATCTGATTTTTTTGGCTTTTTGCCCGAAAATCCTTAGCTTATGTGGAGGAAGTTTACTCGGAGAGTTCGATTTCAGAACTGTGTGAAATCAATAGTCTGTTTTTTTTTATTGTACGCGATTTGCGTGTTATATACGCATTTACGCACATTTGCACCAATAACTTGTTCTTCCAGTTGAAATAGTTTGGTTGCGATCCTCTAGTATTATTTGTGATTTTCTCTAATATTTTCTGTTGATCCGAAGATTCTCAATAGAAAACCCCAGCATTTATCATAAATCCCGCTTTGAACGAAATATGTTAACAGGATTTGGATCGGTTGAAAATAAAAAGATTATTTTTACACGATCCTAGTCCTGATAGTAATTCAAACTTTACCGTGCCAAATTATAAATAAAAAGCCGGTTTTCAAACATACGTTAATTTTTTCCGCATCCAGAGGCATTCATACAGCTGCGCTCATAACTTTGAAGAGAACTGCATTTAACTGAAAATGTGTATGTCTTTGCCAGGTTCTTTGTCGAATGTGGATTCCATTAAAGTGAGGCATTTCTAAATTTATATGAGTACGAACTTGTTTACCGAATTCAGTCAAACTTAGCAAGACGAAGCGCTTTTGCACTAAAAACTTGCTCTCTCGGTTTAAATAATTAGTTTGTTCACATATTTTCTGTTCTATGGAAAATTTCAACAGAACACTTAAAAATGTATATGTTTGATGTTTTCCATAACTCTCCTCAATGGGGAGGAAGGATTTAATAACGGAATTGGGATCGGTGTAAAAATGAAAGTAAGCGATTTTTTACCGAGCCAAATCTCTTTAGTAAAGTACACTTTACCATTTAAAATCCTGGTAAAAAGCAGCAATGTGCTTACAGTGTTGGACAAAAACATGCACGTTTTCATTTAAATACAGTTGTTCTCGGGCAACTTAAGCTTGCCTAAAATCCTGTAGATTTCAAGTTTCACTTTTAAATATTAACCTGAAGTTTTCCGACTGAATCTCGTATATCTCCGATATGGAAATTTCTAGTAGGCATTTCACATGGTAATCGGCCCGAATTTAAAACACTTTATTCGGGAACGGCCGCTATTATTTCAATCGTATTTCGGCAATAATGTTGGAGAATTTGAGGCAAACGGTGTGAGCCAAGCATACGAATTTATTGGATGTGGTCGGCCTAGAGCGATATTTTATGTGGCTCTCCATGCTTGGCAAGCCTCCAATATATCTGGGCCTGGACATAATACTTCTAAGTTTACACCTTTTGAAACTTTATCAGAAATCGGGATTGAAATATTACACTTTCAATCAGTTGAAATAATTCTAATGCTACGACAAAGTCTCATTCCGAAACCTTTTAAATGCGTCCAAAGGGTTATAAGATTATAAGATTCGCCTCCTTCATCAGTCTGACTTTTCTGATTCGTTTCGTTTCTGTCTTTATATCACTTTGGAAATGATCAGTTTTTTGTTTCGTCCAAGCAAAAATACTTTGATGTAAACACACTTTAGATTCCACAAGTTCCTCTTTTTCAGTCGCTACTCCTAAATTGGCAATTGACTTGTGAAATGTCCATCTTCAATTCATTTGCGCACAATTTCGCCAGCTTCTTTTATATTCTAGTTTTGTCTTCCATCTATTTACTTTCCTTTACCTCTGTTTCCTTTGATCATTTTCTTCACATTGCGCTGCAAATGTAAATTGCAATGTTTCATAAATCATTTGCTTTTTGGAATGAGGAATCTTCGAAAAGTGTACCTAAAACATGTTCATCTAATTTCTTTTATGCAAAGTTGAATAATTAGTTTCCTGTGCTACATAGTTTCATTGTTAATTACCAATAAGTCCTGAAAAGAAGTTTTCATTTTCCCGGTAGTCCTGAAACAAAAGACGCTATAAAGTTTTGTCTATTAAAGCGAAACTGCAAAGTTCCAGCATGTTATCGATTAACAATCAAAAGCGAATTAACGTGAAGCAATAACCAGCCAATAACTGAATTAGATCATAACTACTGACCCGCTTTCACATCGTAAAACCACGTAGACAATAAAACATTTTATCTGCAAATTTACTTTGGAACAGTCAGAGGAATCGTAAATCAGCAGAGAGGAAGAGGCCTATGGATTTGTGCTGGCGCTGTCCTTGAGCAATATTTTATGTAGGCCAATGCGGCTGGGAAAGCTGCCAATAATTGAATTTTCCCCATTCTCAAACCTCATACTCTTTCGCCGATATATTTGAAGTTTACGAAAGGAACTTTGCAGTTTATGGTCGGCCATGGAAAATTGATTTTCCTTTGAAAGCTTTAATGTTAAGTTATGTAAAGTAATAAGGCTCGCTCTCCCTCTTATGCCAAAGGGTATTTTAATACCATTTATTCTGCCCCATACCTGCGAATTGCCATTATTTTAAATCGGTTACAACGTTTTTTATTGAAAAATTCAATCATTTTGCTTCTCCTCAATTTCTTCATTCTTTGAAAACTTGTTCATTGGGCGATTATTCACTCACAAATGTATGATTTTGCTTTCTGCTTCTACTTTTTCACGTCTATAGATTGCACGTTCGTAAAATTGGGGACAATTAAACTGTTTTAATTTAATGGTTGCAGTGTTTCTTGTATTAATGAGACAGTGCCATCTGGATCTCAGTGCAACCATTCGTCACGCAAGCTGTTCAAATTTCTCTTAACGTTTGTTACGTTCGCTTCCATCGTGATTCCGCGACAGAAAAATAGATTGGAAAACGAACGAACCGCATTCCACCCTCGGATTTCAATTATCTTCGGTTCTTTTCTCGTCCAAATAAACTACGGGGTGCCTCCAACTTTTATTCTGTTGATTAAAGAGGTGTGCATTCCGATTACCAACTGAAAGCTTAAACACTGTAGGAAAATGCAACTGTGTGTCCGAAAACAGGCGTTTTTTCTTCAGTTCAATGACAATTTAAGACGAAAATCCTTACAGTTCTTGATAATTTTATGTTTTATGGTGAAACTTTCTTCAGTAGCATAATTTCCCCAGTTTCTCTTGTTAAATATGTAGGCTGCTTCGTGACAAGTTTTACCTATTAAAACTTTATGCTCTTAAAAGCTAGGGCGCAATTTCGTCGAGTGGCGAAACTTTTACAATAATTAAATATTTACGGAAATATGTCTTTTTGTTTCAGGAAGAGGGCATGCTACCGCTGTGTGGTCATTCACGAAAAGCACAAAAACGTACTTCAATACAAGGAAAGTGAGTATTTGACTAAAGCGAGCCCTTTGGATTGATTTAATTTCTGGTGGAAATTTTAAGGAATATTTTACGTAAACTGCTCCCAAAAGACAAAAAAGTTCGTGCTGGTTTTGAGGCCTCCACGGCATGGGTTTCCCAAACTTATTACAAACATAATAAAGGACGTAAGCAGAAACCGAGTGATTTACGAGCCGCCAGGGAAACGAATTGCGCACACTAGAAGCAATACTGCATGTTTTTAAATGACTTTGTAATTGGTTTATGGCAGAAGCAACTGAGAATGCGTATTCCGAGTGGAATGCAAATATTAAATATGGAAATCCTAATTCTGATTTGTGGTAAAAACGTAAAGATGCTAATCGGAATTTCCATTTTGTCTACGTACAACCACTGGCTTTCGGCTATACCTACGTTGCCTCATTTACCTAATGAGGAACTGTTAAGAATGAAATGTATGGAAATGAACGCGAAAATTGCTTTTCAACAATACCTGCTGCTGAATATTTTCCAATAGGTCCAACGTAAAACGTAAATTATAATGTGCTATAGCGGTGCTATAGCGCTAAACGGTTATTTTTCTGGAACGGGTTCCAACGTTCCACTTTGGCATTAGGTTTCAAAAGAACATGTTACTTTTTATTTTTTTTCTTTAAAATTCGCTGCATTATAACATCATGGAAACTAAACAGTATTTAGCTGATCTGAGCGTTGCTGGAGAACTGAACAGTAATTTTTATAGACCAGTTACAGTACAAACAAGTTATCAACAGATATCAATATTTTGGCATCCTGCTAATAACGTGCTTGTGGAGTCTATTGCCAAACTGGTAACGAAGTAAAATGCGCGATTTCCAGCCAATCAGCTGAATTGAATCCGAAAATTGCACTCAAATAATGACCAGTTTACATAAAATATTACAAAGTCCTCTCACACTCTTTGCAAGGCACTTGATGCGAAAGATGCTAAAGTTTTATATAGTAAAATTGCCAAGAATCCTGATTTTAGGATGCTTGGTAAAAGCTGGTCGCAAAACAAAAACTTCAACCCAAATGCACTCCGTTCTCTAAAACTTCTTAAATTCGAAACCATATTAAGAGGAAGGAAATACCCCTAAAGCAAATACGCAAAAATTCTTTTCACGATAACTTTTCCTGGTAACCGCACCGGACAACATCGTATTTTTTTGTAGTTGGCCGCCAGTTATTTACTCTCCGTTTATTCAAAACATCTCCGGGTTGTTTGGGATAATGGCGCAAAAAATCCTCAGGTTTTACTTGAGAAGGGAAATTAATATTTGCTTGTGTTGATCGGGGAATGATCCATTTTTCGACCAGAAAGTGTCATTTTTTCCTTGCCTATGCGTTCCAAATTGAATGTTTTTGTCGTCATCGTTCACTGATTTCGCATTTGAGCAGCAAATTGTCCTAATAAAACCTAATTCCTCCATCTGAATATTTGTGTGCCACATGGCAGTTTGGAAGTTTGAAGGAATGGAGAACGGAAATGAGGCATACACGTGAAGTGAATAGGCAACGGGAGTACAAGATACTAATTTGCGAATATTATATCCCTCATCCTCGATTCCATTAGTTTTTGGTGGAAAAGGAACAATGCCTTTAATTAAAGCATGAATAAACTAGCACACTACATGCGGTTAGAAATTCATTTGCCACCAGGTTTTGCCGTAATTTAAGGCAAACAGGATTCCTGAATAGGCACAGTAAAGAATAATATTTCAATGTCAGCAGCGACAATGAAATCCGACTTTGCAATGTGATAAATTGCAACCATTTATTCCTATAATTGGTTCGGGAATATTGTGACATTTGCCCGGAAAAATCACCTTTAAATCGCCTGTTTGTCTTCCAAATTTGCCATCGCTTTATTAATGGCAGTTGCAGTGTTCATATAAAAAAATGGACTGCTACGCAATTTTAAGCATCGAGCGAGTAAAAACTCCAATAAGCCGCGACTAATATTGTAAATTGTTGCTCAAAACATATCCTTTCCCGATCGTATATTACAGCAGGTATTCTATTTGATATTTCCTGAACGGCAGGAAACATGCACCCCAGGAATAGAGCGCGGCACGATAAGCGTACACAATTTTGAAATAATGTGAGCCGAAACTTCGTAAAAATATAATACGGTTTTAATAGGCCGCTCGCAAGGTGCACTGCGAACTTTTGAAATTTTAAAAGACGCCATAATAATTAGAGTGCGACCTAAACTTGGCCGGGTAAATTTGAATAATGCCCCGAGCACGCAAAGTTGACATTAACGACACTTTAGCAAAGCCCAACTAGAAGTTTTTTTTACATTGTAGCAGTATGTTTTTCCTGTATTAGGAATTTAAAGGACATCAAATCTGTGTCGATAAAGCTGCTTGCTTTCGGGTCAGCTAAATGGAAAAATGTTACTTTGATATTCATAAGAACGATAAGAACAAATCATTGCTCTGAAAAATTGGTTGCTCAACTCAGCTTCCATAACTTAGCACTTCCATAAAAAATTGTTTATGCTCTATGTAGTTCATAAAGTCAGTTTAATCAGTCACATAGTCAGTTTAAGAAAAAAAAATTGCCACGAAATGTTATTGGAAGCAGCCAGTATTGACTGTTTAAAATCTGCCTCTCTAAAAATGAAATAATCCTGTTCTGCAGCATAATTCATTTTATTCTCATCATTTATTTAATATTGATGGGAATGATTACTTTTGTTTCATTTTTTAGTGTGTTTTTTCAATATTTTGCGGTGTTTCTTGCTTCTGCAAAATTCTAGTTTTGTTCCCCCGCCAACCGAGGGACTGAGTAAAGACAACTAAGAGCTACCTAGACGAAATTTATGATATTGATACTTTTGGTGCTGCGAATGATTGTTCTCCGACGCCGAAACTGGCGAAAACAATATACTGCAAAATATCCTCCAAATGGGGTAATATAAATTGAAATATTTGACTTCTGGGATCGTAAATCATACTAATGGCCCCCTTTCATAAAATGAAATATGTGGATTTGTAATGCATCGGCGAGAAAAACTTTCCAAACTCGATATTTATCACGTTACAGAACGCCGTGATGAATATCACCCAGATATCGGTAATATTTAAAAAAAACTGGGTTTTGAGTGACTAAAAATCGATGAAAATATAGTTCACAAAACTGCCAAATGTACATATCAAAGGATTTCACAAAAAAACTAAATGTTTCGAACGGATGGATTTACGTATATTTAAGTTTAAGAGGCTGATGTTTTAAGGTGCAAATGTTCATTCGTTGGTTTTATCTACAAAACTACCTTTTCTAGTTCAAAAGGTTATTATTGATTAAATATCCTGTTTCTCCTAGCGATTGATACACAATAGGATTTTTCGAGACTTTTGCATTAACGCTTTGTGCAAAATACAAAAAGCCAACAGTTCTTAAAACATAAGAAAAACAAATTCCTAAAATGGATAAAATGCTACTGACGATTTTTACCACAACTTTTTGAACACAACTTTTGAGGAAAATATACGAAATTTTAGTTATGTTGGTGCCAACTCATTTTTTTCCTTCTATCTGTATTTTTTTCAAACATTTTTTTCTCTCACATCTCCCAATAAGTTTCCTGACGAAAAGGCACATTGAGTTAAATACACGCAGGGGTAATTTATTATTAGAACCACTTTGGGCGTGTTTTAAAAGATTACAAAATCGTTGTTTCCGAAAAAAACATGAAAAACCTAAGGTTTTCAGTTTTGGAATTTCTTTCATATAAAATATAGTCAAATTACATTTTTTCTAGAATCCATACTTACAGCTTTTTATACCGTTTTGGGCAAGAACAATTTCGCAATTGACACATTTTTCTACTTATTTCGCCTCTAAACAGAGTTGGAAAGCGACGATGGTTTTTGGCATTTTTACGATTTTGTCGATTTTTGCGATGAAGTCGAAAACATTTTACAAATTAATGAAACCTTCACATCAAAATTGCCTCTTTCAAACGTCCCAAATCATCCCCAAAAACAGTTTATGGATTCAAGGTAATCATGATTTTCACTTCTGAAGGGAAGAGAACACAATGTTTGATGGAAGTGGATTATTTTTGCGCGTTAATAAAACGTTCCATATTTTGAACACTTTTTTAAACCAAAGTTTCAAATATTTATGTCTCTTGCGCAATAATTTATAGGCCATGTTTTCGACTACTCTCGTAAAAAGTGAAGTGGTATTTTATAGAGACAAATAAAATTTCTACACGTAAGTGTGCGATGTAATCCAAAAAAATAAATGATATAAATTAAGCAATACTAGTAATGACAATTTAATTTTTAAACAAAGAGAAATAGCAACAATAAGTTAAAGTTGCGATGCTAAAATAATGCAAATTTCGCATTATTGGCTAAGTTTTTTTAATAAAACAATCTATTTAAAAAGACTTAAACCGGTTTGCACAAATTAACGGTCGTTTTCAGCGACATTTCCACAGAAGTTGCTTTAAATATCGACGGAAAATAGTCATATCAATAAAACCAAGTTAAAAATCGTAAACAGGGTGTTCTAAACAAATTTTAGGCGTGAAAACAAACGCATTGTGTTCTTAAAAAGCATTAGAAAAGATCGTTTGTTGACCAATATGTAAAAGAGGCTTTTGAAAAATTTAACGCGCTTTTTAAAGGTTGTTGCTCGCCAAAGTGGACCTGTTCTGAAACCGAAAAATGTACATTGTTTGTTGCAATTTTGTCTAATTTTTTAAGTTAAGCAACTAAAGATACATTTTTCCTCATCTTGGCCATTTGAATTGGAAGGCGCATTGATAGCAATCCTATGAAAATTGTAAAAAACTACAGAGTGTTCGTCTTTGAATGCAATAAACTAACCAGTTTCCCTCTTGAGGCAGCATGCGCTTGGAATTTTTGCCACCACCCTTAAGAGTTTGTAGATATATTAATAAAGACTCTATATAACGTAAATTGTCTCTCAACTCATCAAGCAAATAATTAAATAAAAGACACACACGCAAAGAAATCGATTGATTGGATTTTTTAAAATAAATAACATTATTAAATTATGTGTTTGTTTTCAGCATTTTGCCATGGAAGAGACGCCCTGCCTACACTCTGCAGCTTGATAACAGGTGACGCGCTGCTCTACTCCTTGTTTAGGGAGAACGCGAGCCCCGTCTCCTGCCCCTTTCGAGGCCCATTCACTTTCACCTACAATAGGGGGCATGGTGAATGTCGCTCCCCCGTATCCAACATTGATACCTGCACCGAAGACAGCAAACTATTGCTGAGCTATCAGGCATGCCCGGATATTTATGGATCCGAAAGTACCGGTAAGCAAGATGACTTTTTTCCAGTCCCAGTGGTTCGTTCGTAACGGAGATTAGTAACAATTAGCGCGGATTCTCTTAGTATAAGTGCAACCTAAACATGGAAACAAACAATCAAGATCAACTGCATTCTAAATAATTTACGAGGCCATATTTATGTTTAACTACCTGGCTTATTTTACGCTGGGACATTACCTTAAACGTGTGTGCTGTTAACTCGCTTCCATTAAGGGTGGCACAAGAGGAGAATTATGAGGGCGTAAAAATTAATGTTTTAAACCAGCTTATTACCGCTAGCTGAAAAGTTCAAGTAGTCGTAAAGTAGGGAATCGGCAAATGTTCTGTTGATGGCGCCCTAAAGAGGAGAAAGATGAAAATCCACTATAATTAGATCAGTTAGTTGCCTCAAATGTTGAGAAATAAAGAAAAAATGCATTATCCAGACAAGTCCAAGAAACGCGTTTGAGTACAATGCAGACAAAGGGAGCATGTTCCCTATAGGAAATTATAAAGGGCACGTATTTCGAAGCATTACAGAAATACTTAACGTACTTTCCAACTTGAATACTAAATCTCAAAACCTCAGCGGAAAATATCAGGAGAATTTTGATTTAGAACGAGCCAGCGCCATAACTAATATTTATGCACGTAGTCGGGCCAAACCTTCAGTTTTAAACTCGGCGAAGAGATAGAAGATATTGGGGCTGCGGAATGAGAACTTGAGACCAAGTAATTTATGAAACCCCATTTAATTTTCCGCTTTTCCTAGGCAACTAGACACTTGGCAAAGAACAGAAAAATTACCAAATGGGTTTTAATAGCATAACAAATGCGCTAATGAGCCAAACATGCAAATCACTTAAACTTTTCACTCCCAACTAAGTGTGTCCATAAAAAGGCGACTGCAGCTTAGCAATAAGAAAGAAGCAAAAAAGGAACTTGTCCCGAACAAAAATGTTTTTATTCTTACACTTTTCCCGAGAACATTACTTCGGGGTCCCAGCGATTTAGCCCCAAAAAACTTCCACTGTGCAAAGTTTAACTTGGATTAGCATCCGAAGTTGGAAAGTTTTAAGCACGAAAGGGGGGTTCTTAGAGAGGTGTTTTCAAAGTTTTAAGTATAATGTAAGCTAATTGAAGGCGCGGCGCAGCCGATAGTATATGCTCGTATTTACATGTTTTACTTATGGGGCCAGCACAACACCGCAGAGCGCTGGAAAATGGAAAACTGCAACCACAAAATGTGCGGGTTCGATGAAGAAAGCAATTTTTTTTAAGGAAAAGAGACAAAACTGTCTTTGCCTTCGACCTAAGAAGGTTCTCAATATACATATACAGTATTCAATAAAATATACATATACAGTATAAAACAAATTCTCGGGCTCGAATGGTTCTTGAGAAACTTCGAAAAAAGCAGCGTCATGTTCAAGTGGATTTTGCAACTCAAAAAAAACCACGCAAATCTAAAACTTCT